TTAGCATATTCTTTTGAATTAATATTATATTCTGTACGAATTGTATTCGAACATATTTTATCATTATATTGAAATGTTAATATTATAAAACGATCAGAAACATAAGCAACATATGCACCAGAAAAAAGATCAAAACCTAAATCAATTCCATGTATAACATTGTCTGGTCGCCAAAGAAGTGGCATAGTAAATAAAAGATTTTTATAATCAATTAATTTCGTTCGTGTTTCTTCAATAAATGATTTTAATGAATTAATATCAATATTTTCTGTTGATGGACCATAAGCATGAAAACCTTCGAAACTAATACCAAAGATTTTTTTTTCATTATTTGATATAAGACGAAGAATATCATTTAAATATAATTGTCGTTGACGTTTATCATGACCACCAACAAGTGGTACAATAACATTTGATGATATTGTTTGTTCATCTAATGAACTTTCTAAAAAACGTCGACTTCTTTCACGATCTTTAGTAAAACGTTTGTCTGTTGTTTTATCAATTGGTGTATCACCATCAAACATTGGTTCATATATTGTTGGTTGAACAAGTTGAATTAATTTTTTAAATCGCTCAATATTTAATTCTTGTCGTCCAGATTTTGTCCATACACTTGAATAAAGATTTCCACTACCACCTGGACGTAATTCAACAAGAGAATCATGAAATGGACAATAAATTGGATATTTTAATCGAGAAAAATTTCCATATGATCCCATATTTTCAAGATTTTTCATTGATTCAACTAAACTACCAAGTGGAATTTCAACTAAACGAGTTACATTATCAGGTATAAGATCGTATGTCACATCGGGTACAACACCGGAACGTACATAGAGCATAGCTGCTGGTGTTTCAATTATTTTTGGTATTGTTGAAAATGCTAATTCACCAAGCCGAGCTGCATTTGTTGTAGTTGAATTTGAAAGAGATATTGTTTTAAAAGATATATTAGCCATCTGAAGTCAAAGAATAATCAATTCAAAAAATAAGCAAACGTGTAGTAGAAAAAAATTTCGTTTATTCAGAAGCATTGATTACAACTTATTCAATCAAATGTATTGTTATTTACTGCATGTTAAATATTAATTATTTCAATATTTGTGAAACTCGAGACAACACAAAAAGAAAAGAGTATGAAACATGTTCATAGCAGCACTGTTGCGATGACATCAGTGGCAACTTCTTTTTAAGAAAACTGTATAATTGCATGAATTTGCATCCAGTTTGAGTGTCTACAACTCTAACAGGCAGAATCGTGGTGAATCTGATCGATTCAATCTAACTGTGCTTATTTAACACAGTGATGAAGGAGATTTTCGAAAGTAAATTTCCAGTTGTGATAGACCTTTTGGGTAAGATGTCGTTGGATTAGGAATCTTGAAAATTATCTTTCTAATATCGACTGTAAAAAAAGACATTTTCAGTTTTTGTTAGCCTGTTGTTTCAAGTTAGATTGGATCATAAGAATTCGTTCTAATGTTAAAAAGTAGAGAATCTTGTGTAGATTTAATTGATATGTTCGTCTCTTCTAGTATTAAAGATTTCGGATATTAGAAGAACATTACTTTCTCAGAATTTTAACTGAATAAAATGTCATTTTTCTTCGTTAAATTATTTTGCATATGCCATTCAAACACTATAGTCAGAAGTACAGAAATGTATCTATTTTTGAAACACAATATCAAGTTTTCGGATAAAGTTTTGTTATTTAAAAAACTGCAATCGTTTGTGCAAATTCAAGTTTCGAGAAAATTGCTGAAAAAACATATAAGTCCGTTGCCTGAGCCTGTTTCATGTTCTTCAGGGGGGAAACAGCTAAGCTTATTAAGAGTAAACAAACTTTTGAACTATAATTCACTGGACAAAAGTTGGTGTTCACAATTGTATCATTTTGCAGTTGAGCAAATGATGTTCTTGTGACGTCCAGTGCTTTTAATACTACAAGAGAAACATACATAATTATTTTGAAAAGAATATGTCAATGAAATCTATACTAAATTTTCTACCTTTTTCAGCAACAGAATAAAACTTTCTGATCCGATCCAGCAAAAAGCGGACATTTATTCTGTCGCACATGTTACGTTCATAGATGAAACATTCAATAGCACGTACATATCCCTCTCAAAAATATGTTGTTTACTCAATCACATTCTTGCCCACATGGATGGTTAACATAAGACCAGTTGATGATCATAAATCGGACGAGATCTTCAATTCAACAATTTGAAGTCTAATGGTGACACACAATCAGTTGATTTCTATTAAAAAGAAACACATAACTCCATCAAAATAAATACTAAATGTTATAAGTTCAATATTAATTGTGACTAATATATGATAGTCGGTTACAACTGTTTGATAAATACTTCTAAATGGTTAACTTTTCAAGTAAAGAAAAACGAAAATTATTTTACTTTTATAACACCAGATAAAGATGATACTGCGTATAGTATTTTCGCAAGCTTCTTTAAATTATCGTTCAATCTTCTTGAAATCATCATTCTTTTGTCCTTGATCACAAAGACTAAAGAGTTGTATATTGAATTTCAATAGATAAGAAATATCAATTGAGATACGCACAGCATTATGTAAAAGCAGTAAATCAAAGAATTTCTCTAGCCTTAAATGACGAAAATAATAAACGATATATTAAGCAAAAAAGTGAAAAATTAAATTTAAGCAGGTATTTGATAGATCAAATCAAATCATGCCCGTCTTCTTTTGGATTGGAGAATTGTTGAGTAAAAATATTGTAAAGAAAAGAGGTCGCTCATTTCAAGAGTGCTTCATACAATCTTTCGATATAATGTATTAAAATATTGCAGATGTTATTTTATCTTCATTAACTATTTCTTTATATCGATATTTCTGTGGATTGATTAAACTCTCTGTTCGTAAAAATTTTTTACTGTCTAATTTACCAATATACTTTTATTAACAATGAAAAATATTTCCTTGAGCGATAAGAACTTATGTGAGATGAATTCCTTCCAACTACTTCTATGACAATACTGATGGCGAGATTATGAAAGTAGAATATGGGTTTCTTTCACAGAAGAACATAATGTGATTGATTTTTACTCTAAGATAAATCAATCAAATCGTTTCGTGGTGATGATTTAAATTCGCCTCGTTGCTTCATTACAAATAATTTAATGCCATGGATAATAACTGACAAGGAAAGATCTTCACGTGATAAATCGCTTTTAAGTGTGGGATCTATATTCAATCGATAGAGTCTAGTGTGTAGGTAAATAGTCAAGAGTAGTTTAAACTGTTAAACCTTTGTTGTTGAGATATGATAGTGAGCACCGTAATGTACGAATAAATATTTTTACTTAAAACAAAAAGCGTTTGTCATCACAGTAGTTTGTCTTGCTGGTTGACTAGATATCGAAAAATTAATCACTAGTATCGAATTCTTATACATGATGTATAAGCATAAGAGTACATACCAGTATTTTTTCTGCCAAAAAAACCAACAGCAAATAGGATATATGATACTAACATGAATGAAATCGAAACTAATTCAAAAAATATTTTCGTTTTCATAATTCAACTGTAGAAACCTTTTTTAGAAATTCTATTTCATTTTGCGCTTTCAATAAATTTATTCTTTAGATCTATTTATTGCTTTGCAATCAACTCACTTAATCTAATCCTATTTATCATTATTATTCTGTGACAAGGAAAACACATTCAGCATGACAAATTGTTCGGTATATATTAACTTTAATCATTAACATAAGTTTGTTTTCTCTTAAACTTTCTATGAGATCAACATACTGTTAATGGATGAAAGATGCGCCATGAAATTCTATTAAATTAGTTTGATGATGTTTTTATAAAGCTAAAAATGAAGCACTGTACCATGATGAAATGTCTGATTATAGTGTGAGAACCTAACATGAAAGTAACATTGATTATTTCATGTATCTTTGTCGGTACCAACAAATCATAAAACCATAAATTGTTCTTTTTTTTTTTTACATGTGTCGTGTATTCTCTTCTGCTTTTACAATAAAAAGTTCTTTGAATCGTACTAATGAGTTTTTCAGATGAAAAAAAGTAAAGATCTTTGTAATATCTTTATATGGTACATTTTAAAAACGAAAAAAAACACTTTAAAAATCTCAAGTAATTAATCTTTTGCTTCGTCGTATTTCATCTTCTTCCGGTTGACTTGTGCGCATTAGCCGAACCACTTTGATTAAATCGCTGTATCCACCGATGAATTACAGTACAATGCGCCTTCTTAGTTAATATACTTGAGATTTCTGAAGTTATTTTTCCGCTTTCATATTGGACAATATAATGATAGTACGAAAGTCTTTACGTTTTTTCATAACCATTCTTGTAGAAAATTTCACGGTGCATCTTTTAAAAACAAAATAAAGATTATGTTTTATTTTTTTTTGCTGAGATATTTACAAAATACTAGATGCTGCTATCATTATGATTCATTCGGTAGTACAACCTATATTGTATTCTTTTACGATATACTGACACTAACACAACCAATAAGAAGCTTATTGCTTAAATAAGCTTCTGGTTTTTGCAATGTGCTATTCTATCAACATGAACAACAATAAGTGTAGCCTTTAATAATTCATTTCTAATACAATGATAACTAAAAATAGTTAAGTCATATTGAAATAAATAGAAATGTTCGATCTGACTCTATTCAAAGCAACAGAGAATAAATTATATTTGGTTTAACTAAAAATAATTTTAATGAAGTACACAATTATCAATAGTTTAAATGATTGATTGAACTCTATTATTAGAAATTTTCAAATATTTTTATAATCTTTATTGTACAGATGATAAACAATCACATTGTAAATATATATTTTTGTTTTCTTTTAACTTAATCAAAAAAAAAAACACAAACTTCAATAAATCTTGAATTTTATAATATCTTTTTTCTTTTTTAAAAATAAAAACATCGTCATACATTTACATTAATTAAAGAATAAATCAATGTAATGAGTTTAAGCATTCGAATGCTTTTTAGAGCTGTTTAATGCATAACTTCCTGTGCTAGAATTAGTCGATATACCCAATGCTTGTCGTAAACGAGTTAGTGGTCGTGCATGTTGTTTCCGGGCTTGTTCCATATACATCATGGCTTTGAATGCACGCACTTCATTATCGTCAACATCACATGCAAAACGTCTTGATTCGAGACGGCCTTTCTCATTGCTAATATTAGTATTCGATATGAGATCATTAGTTAACATAGACCATTGTGCATCCATCGGTATTGATAAATAATTACCACTACTTTCAGATGATTGTCTTGCTCGTGATTGTGAAAGTTTTTTTGATGAAAAGAATCTTGTTCGTCGTTCATTAGTTGTTAAATCAACACTAGATGGACATGAGCGAGCACTTGCTCCGCTTCCCGTCGAATTTTGATTAGTTGGACTTAAAAGAAAATAAGTTGTTGTTGATGAACTTCGTCGAAGTAGTGCTGGTGTTGAAAGTCGATCTATATTTGTAGATGTTGGCATTGGATTTGTATATGCTGATGTTAAGGCTGTTGCTGTTGGTATTGATGGTGGTGATGATGATAGACGATTGATAGTTTGTTCAAGAAAACGAATTCGATCTAATAAAAGACTATTAAAATTTGTTAATAATTCTTCACGAAGACGAGCTAAACATAATTGTGTTTCTCGATTAACACATAAAGTATTAGTACAATAACCATTTGCCATATTCTTTGATTTCACAAATTAATGCAATAGCGTTTTTGTTAGACAATATAATAGAGTCGTTTAAAGTAATTGTAGAATGTTCAGCGACTATGCAGAATATTTTCTTGCGTGTCTGACTATGTGTGTTTAATGGAAAATTCTGACGATCTAAAAGAGAAAAAGAGAGCCAGGCACAATTAAGACTGATCACCAGCAAGACAACATTGCAGAAAAAACGACAAGAAAGATGTTAGCAACGAGAGAGAAAAGAAGAAGTCTGCATAAGTGAAAGAGAGAGAGAGAGAGAGAGACAGCTAATGTTTTAGACTGAATCAGTTGCAGTGCTTATGTGCTTCTTCTCTTGTGTTTTCTCATTTCTACTTACTCACCACACATGTTCTATTGAAGTACTTGTTATTTGTGTCTCGTATTCGTAAACACTTATTCTAACGATTACACACGACGTTAGGTTTTATTCAATGGGACATTACTCTTTCTCTTTATCTCTATCTACTCACTTCACTCCTACATTATTTTAGAAGTGAAACATGTTTTAATAAATAGCAGTAAATTTTGTTTGGGTATTATTCGAAATACCATAAAAAAAACTTCATATATATATATAATATATATGTGTGTGTGTGTGTGATCAGTCACTTTCAATAATAGTGTTGACTTTTACTTAAGTAAGGAAAAAAAGAAGATAAAAACTTTTGAAGTAAATGCCACACACAATGAAAAGATTGACACTGAATGAATTAGTGAAGTAGAAATGAATTAAACTATTTTTTTTTCTAAAATTAATAACCGTATATATATATGTATTTGTAAACTTTTATTCATGTTCCTATGTGTGCAGCAAGGAAGTTCTCGAAATTATAGTGATTTAAAAAAAATGATTTTGCTGAATAGAACAAGAATATTGTGTTATATGATCATTGATGGTTAAGTACAATCAAGTATTTTCAAGTGTATTTTCACCGGAAATGCAATTACTTGCTGTTTTTATTGAATTTCTATTTTATTCAAATTTTCTATGTTGTAGTATACATGAAAATTTGATCATTTTAGATATATATAAGATCATAAAAAGTTATTATAAAGAAGAATAAATAAAAAGAATTTTTATGTAAATTCTATTTACTCAAATAGAATAAAGATACAACATCATAAAATGTTATTTTATTTTATTGTAGCAAGATATTCTCTTTATGTAATTATCTTCAATGTAATATTATGTGTAATAGATCGTTTTATGAATCACATTCATTGTGTTTTTGACATTGGAGAACTACGCATTTTTCCTGATCATTATTGTACTTCAAAAATAAGTAGAAAGATGCATCTTGGGATTTTTATTAAATAAATGATGCTTGCGTGTTATTGACGAACAATAATAAATTAGGAAGAATAGCTTTGTAGAAGATAAAAATAATGTTCTTCAATGAGTTTTGTTAGATTTACACAAAACTGAAGATGAAAGCAAGTATTTACGCATAAAATCTTCAGGTTAAAAGAATGATAATGAGCTCTATAAAAATTCTTCTATTTACTACTAATTTGCCACGAATTTTAAACTTTCAAATAACATATGAGTGATTTTTCCAAGATTTATAACAAAGATATTAGAAAGAAACAATCCAATTGAATCTTAATTAAAAATTTTTTTTTTGGAAGAACGCAAAATGGAAATTCATTATAACGATGTATAGATAGCTGCTAGTTATTTCATAAGCATTTAAGTCCATGAATCCTTAGAAGAACTATGGGATCAGCTTTCTTCTTTCTAGATAATATGTCAAGGATTGGACTTGTCACTGTAAGAAACAAAATTGATCTTTCTTAACAGTATGCTTTGAAATTCAGTTAAATACAATTTTTTTTGTGACGAAAGTACAACTGTAAAAAAATGCGTCACATTCATGTTTGTTAAAAAATTCCCTAAACATCTAACATTTGACGAAGGAAACTATTTTTCAAACATCGTTTTTTTCTCCAAGTAATGCAATTAATATTTTAAGATTTTCAATGTAATAATAAATGATAAGATGATTAACAGTACGATTTTTTTGTTATCAGAAGACTTTTGAAACATTAGTAAACAATAATATTCCGCCAATGAAAATTCAAATTTTACAAATTGCTATTTGAAATTTAAACAAGAACAAAAATCTACAAACTATTAGAAAAATTTTAACGCATAAAATTTTCAATAGACAACTTGCATTAATCCAGTTATTCATAATTTTCTTCACCACAGTGACATCCATATAGTCTTGTTCACTCTCACATATATTACATCAATACCATCATCACATTCAAATTGTTCAATGAAATGTTGCTTGATATTATGGTTGTGTATATTGGTAATATTTCTCAAATGTATGTGAACTAGTGTGCAATTACATTAAAAAAAATACACTATTAGTAGATAATAGGTGATAGTTGAGATTAAACATTTAAGACACATAATGATCAACTTGTTCAATGTACGAACTTCATTTCAATAGATCATTCGTTTTTATATTAAGTTCAAATCATTATGTAAATGAATAATGTCGGATATTATTACAACATAATGACATTTATTAATGATTAAAACGTTCTAGTGATTCTTAATATCCTGAACGACGATAATATTTAACGATTGAATTATTTTTGTAACACAGATACAATCATTATATCTTAATAATAATAGATTGTCTTCAGTATATTATACAGTAACATATGAGTATTAACTCGATTGGAAAATACTAGAAAAAATACAATTTCTTATAACGAATAGATCATACTTGGTTTAAAACAACTCAAGAAAACAATATCTAGGCATTTTACTGCTAGTAGAACTATAAAAAGGATGAAAACAAATCAGCAGTTGACTATACTGAGACTGTGCACATATAGGCAAAAAAAGATAAGCGAAAGGTTCTGAAAATATTCACTAGACTAAATGGAACGAATTTTCTCGTGAAATAGAGAAAAACGGAATAGAATCAAGCGTAGTTTTAAAAGGACAAGACGATATGAATTCTAGAAAAGAAGTAGGAGGTGAAATGAAACGGAACTTATTTCCCGCTGTCTCAAGTAGTCTTTGTCTGTGCTCATCTTTTACAAAGTTAAAGCATACAAAATCATGTCATACACTACACTAAATATATATTTTTTCTTTTGCTTATAATGGTTAAGATTTTAAAAGATGAAGAACTGCTTGAGTGCGTATGATGCACTTGGATATAGAAGAACACTACGACATGCTGAGTTCATTCTTCACTGAAATCTTTACTCATTAGATTGACTCAAAATGTTCAGAAACTATGTAAAATCAATGACTAAAAGACAAATTATAGATCTAAGTCAGAGAAATTGATGAATTTATTGTCAGACTACAACATTTCAATATTTATGAAGCATTACATCAAACAGATAGTCACAAATATGTGAAAAAAACTGATTTTGTGATTTCTAGATAGAAAAGAATCAATGTCAGTACAATTAATATCAAATTTCAAATTCAATAACGGCAATCCGATAAGGATAATTTTTCATTAATCGTCTCGGCTTATAACCAAGAAATTCAAAGAAATACATAGTTGCTGAGAAATAATTGATTTCGACAACAAAACATAGAATGAATGATGCAGAATAAATTAAATTGTTATATTTTTAATATTTTTTCTCGATTGTTCATTGAATTGAAACATTTTCTTTTAGTCGCAACATAGCGCTTGAAATTCTGTACAAAACTCCAAGCAAAGGCAATAATGAGCAAAACGATGCTTAAATAATTCAATTTTTAAAAACTGAAAAATTTTTGATTAATCGCCAAAAACGCGTTGAAACAGTTTAAAATTAATAGTTTTCTTACACGTTTTTGGTAACTAATCAAATATTTTAAACAATTCGAATGATTTTGATGAAAACACCTGGTAACAATTAACCAAAATATCATGAAAACTATGAATTGATAAATACTGGGCATTCCAAAAGTCCAACACAAAAATGTTTTTTTTCGTAAAACTTCACTATTGATGGACCTTTATTAGTTGACTTTTGTTTTGTATGATTGGCGAGACCGTCAAGCTATTATTTTCGTGGACAAATGATATAAGTACTCTTTGAAGTAATTACCTTTAGTCTCTTTTCTGATTTCATAATAAGAGGTGTCTTAGAAGTTCTAAAACGATTTTAAAATTCATCGTTCTAACATTCAGCAAAAACAAGCTCTTTAAAATAAATCTTGGTAGATTATTGTACCCACTTAGTAGTATAGGAAAAAAGCTCATATACTAAAAAATATTTAGCAGTTTATAAATAATTAATTGTCTTCATATTTTAATTAATCAAGTGTTGTTTGACAAATTTATTTGATAAATTATTACAATTACGAAGTATATGAGTTGCTAATTAATATTTATTAATTTTAATATAAGAAAATATTTCCAACAGTTTCTCCCTCTTTCGTCAGTTCATTTACTTTTACATTAGAATAAAATTTTATTTTCTACTCTTCACAAAAGTGCTTATTTATCTTTTTTTTCTATTTTCTAATAGTGGACTGGAAAGACAAGACTGTAATACTGTATGATTAAACGTATGTGTTTTCATCTTCTGTTCCACTACAGACAATAGAAAAACCATGAAGATAAATAGATACTTTTTGAAATAATAAAGGATAAAATTTTATGCTAATGTAAAAGTAAATGAATTGAAGATGGAGACAGAAGCTTCTCGAAATTTTCTTTTATATTAAAATTAATACGTATAAATTGTCAACATATACACTTTGTAATTGTATTAATTTATAGATTAAATTATTTAAACAATATATAATAAATTAGTATAGGACGAGAATTAATTATATATAAACCATTTGTAATGACTTTTCTTTAATATTATTAATTTCAAATATTTTATTTTCTTTGTATTTTATATAGACTGTCATTATTAGGGATATTTTTCGAGTTATTCTTTTTATTAAGATCAGTGCTCTTCATCAGGATAAGTTCAATCACCCTCAAACT